CAAGAAACACACTACAGACTAGCACTCGGTAGAGCAGCCGTGAAGGCCTTGGAAAAGATATTCCGATGCTGCAATGTGTCTGTACCTACGAAGGTCGGAATAGTACAAGCAATGGTATCCTCTGTGATACTTTATGGAAGCAAAAGTGGGATTTTGAAGAAGCAGGATAGGAAGAGTACTGACACTTTTGAACTTTGATGTTGGAGAATACCGTGGACAACCAAGAAAACAAACCGATGGATCACTGAACAAATCAAACCAGAGTTCTCACTCGAGGCACAAATGACCAGGCTCAAATTACCCTATTTCAGACACATTATGCAAAGATCTAGCTCCCTAGAGAAGACTATTATTTATTTTTATCAGATTTATACACTACCCATCTCACTATACAAGTGACTCTAGGCAGCTTACACATAAAAAATGATAAAAACAATAAAAAATCTTTACAATATATACAGGGTTAAAAGACGAGGGAAGCATCATCAAGCCACCAACCACTCCCAGTGCTGTGAGCCCCCATTAAATCCCCATGCTAGTCAGCAGAGCCAGGTCTTAGCGCTCTTCCGGACGGCCAGAGGAGTGGGGCCAATCTCATCTCAGGGAGCAAGATGTTCCACAGGGCGGGGGCGATGGCAGAAAAGGCTCCTCTCCCAGACCCCGCCAGTCAGAATTCTTTAGCCAATGGGGTCTGCAACATGCCCTTCCTGCCGGACCAGGTGGGATGGGCGGATATAACCGGGACAAGACTGTTCCTCAGGTAGCCCGGTCCCATGCCATGCAGGGCTTTAAAGGTCATAACACCGTGAATTGGACCCGGAAGCAAACCGGCACCCAATGTAGCTCCCGCAGCAGAGGTGTTACATGTGCAGCCCTAGAGGCACCCATAACTGCTCGCACTGCTGCATTTTGCACTAGTTGCAGCTTCTAGATACTTTTCAAGGGTAGCCCCACGTAGAGTGTGTTGCAAAAGTTCATATGGGAGACGACCAGGGCATGAGTGACCGAGAGAAGGGCTTCCTGATCCAGGAAAGGGCGCAACTGGTGCACAACACAGAGTTGAACAAAGGCCCTCCTAACCATGACTGCCACCTGCTACTCAAGCTGGAGTCGTGAGTCCAGGAGGACCCCCAAATTGCACACCGGGTCCCTCTGGGGGAGTGCCACCCCATCCAGAACCAAATATGGTAAGGCCCCAGATATGGAGGAGCCCCAAACCCACAGTCACTCCATCTTGCCAGGGTTCAGTTGAAGCCTGTTGTTCCCCATCCAGGCCCCCACAGCCTCCAGGCACCGCAAGAGGGCGGTCACGGCATCACTTAATTCACCTGGGACAGATATGCATACTGATGATACCTCATCCCATGGTGACAAATGATCTCACCCAGCAGCTTCATGTAGATCTTAAAAAAGAGCAGAGAAAGTACCAAGCCCTGTGGCACCCCACACAGCAGGGGCCATGGGCTGAACCTCTCACTCCCTGTCCACATTGATTGGGACTGGCCTTGGAGAAGGAGGTGAACCAGCACAATACTGTGCTGCCCACCCCCAACTCCTGCAGCTGATCCAAGGATACCATGGTCAGTGGTATCAAAAGCCACTGAGAGGTCAAGAAGAACCAGAATGGATTCACTATCCCCATCCCGGTCTTGCCAGAGGTCAGCTAAAAGTGCAACCAATGCCGTTTCTGTCCCATATCCGGGCCTGAAACCCAACTGGAAGTGGTCCAGATAATCCGTTTCATCCAGGAACCTTCAGAGCTACAGGGCCACCACCTTTTCTACCACCTTCCCCAAAAGGGGGAGGTGAGGGACTGGACAAAAATTGTCCAGAATCATGGGGTCGAGTGATGGCTTCTTGAGGAGAGGGCAAACCAGTGCCTCTCTGAAAGGAGCCAGGAACACCCTCTCTCTCAAGGATGAATTGACCATCACTTGAACCCATCCACATGTCACCTCCCGGGTGGCCTTGACCAACCATGAGGGGCATGGATCTAACACACAGGTATTTGCACTTGCAAACCCGAGGACCCTGTCCACTTCCTTGGGCCCAACAGGATCAAACCGTTCCCAGATAACCAGGCAACCCTGGTTATCTCCAAAGGACCTGCACCAAGCTTGGCCTCCAACTGGGAGCAAATTAGAGCCATTTTATCCATTAGATGTTCAGCAAATTTCTCTGCACAGCCCTGAAGGTAGACCTCTGAGCCCCCCTTACCCAGGACGGTCCAGGGAACCTTAAACAGGGCCGCTAGGCGACGCTCTGTGGACGCAGTAAGAGTGGAAAAATAATGGCGTTTTGCCACTCTTATTGCCACGAGGTATACCTTAATAGCGGCTCTAACTTGTGTTCAATCAGATTCTTCCCTTGTCTTCCTCCAACGGCGCTCTAGACATGTCTTTATCCTTTTCATTTCCCTCAATTCCTCCGTAAACCACGGGGAATGACAGGAATGATGGGCCAAGAGAGGTCACACGGGCACAATCCTGTCTAAGGCCTCAGCCGCTAAGAATAATGCTAAGAAAAGTAGAAGGAAAGAGAAGAAGAGGATGATCAGTAATAAGGTGTACGGAATCTGTTACAGTGCTAATGGGTACACCACTGGAAGATCTGAAAGATCCTGTTAGAGATATATCATCACGGAGAAAATCTATGTAGTTGCTAAGAGCTGACACCAACTTGATGGCACTTAATCAATTTTAAAAAAAAATCAATTACAGGCAAACTACCCAAGCAGAAGATATAGATGAAATCATCACAAACCAGATGGCCAAGGCACCCAGGAAACACACCAACAGGGATTTCAACTACCCTGACAGCAACTGGGAATGAAACTCTGCAGCAAGCAGGAGATTCAACATACCTTGTGGACAACTTCATTGTTCAAAAGGTGGAGGAGGGAACAAGGAAATCAGCTATACTGGATTTAATATTTACTAACAGGAAAGAAGTGGTTCAAGAAGTTGAACTGGTAGGAATCTTGGGAGAAAGTGACCATGTTATGATCCTAAAATTCATCATACTGG